TCTTAATAAAGTTTGTTGGCGTAATATTATACGGCTGTATGTGTTGCTGTCTGGCCAGATTGCCTCTGTACTCAATATATGCACGCTGAACAGCAGTTCTTAGGAAACAAAAAAAACAAAACAATATTGTACATAAGGGGGACAAAAAGTCTTTTTTAAATAAGTTTATGAAGTGCATTTTGGAGCCCAGCAGGAATTTGAACCTGGGTCACATCTCTGGTTTGGACCGCTCGTATAGTTTCCGTCCTTAATCGTGACATAAATCCCGAGCAGCCATAATGAGAAAAAGACTAATACACTACATCTGAAAGCCAAGCATGCCAACTATTTCTAATTCAACCCCCTCTAAACCTCGGACTGTCCGATGCTTCGAAACGACACGAGAAACGCTGCCAGTGATCATAACAGTTCTTCAGATAAGGTGTTTAATCTGAGCTCTGTCTGGACGACCAAAAAAGCCTTCGGGTTGTAAGAGAACTGACATCAGAAGCAGAAGTTTCACACTGACCCCAAATGGTTGCAGGGCTCCACTGCAGTTTGCAGCGGGTCTCGTTAAGCCATGGACAGGACCGAGCCCGTCAAAGGCTTAAACATACTCAGTTAGTATTGTCGATGGAATTTCATCCTTATTCATCACCAAACAACAATGAAGCAAAACTAAAAGTTATATCTGGAATTTTTTTTTAAAATGAACCAAACACTGATAAAGAATACTTATTTAAGAAACACTCCTGAAGACTATTTAAAAAAAGGAAAAAAAGATTAAAGATGGCTATACCAGATAATGCTGATGCTTGTCAATCTGATGCTATAAATAGAATGCAATGAACTCCTGTTTATGTTTGAATTCAGTCAAAAATCCCTGCAGCGAATCCCCCTTTTACTCCGCAATTCACGACGTAAAACAATTTACACAGTTCTGCCTTTTACAAAGATCTCTATGACACAACAGCAAAGCCGAATTCATTTCACCGTCTGACAATAAACACCATTAAAAACGTTTTCAGATATCAATGTTTCAACATGGGTTCGTTTGGTTTGACGTTTTTGGGCGTCCGAGACTTCGAAGGTGCGGATGCTCTGGACGTGAGAGCGCATGATGGGGATATGGGAAGCTTGGGAAGAGGTTTCTGGAGATGGGGTGTGTGGGGGAGGGGGTGGGGGGTGCAGGGTTGAGGGGGGGGGGGGGGGGTATCACAGATGAAACTGGAGCCAAAAGGCAGCTGCAGTACATCTGTCTTGCGCTGACACATGTGGCATTTGACTTCTAGTGTGAAGTTCAAAAGAGTTTTATAATGACGCAGCTGCTTAAGGATCCATGCGAATGTGTGCGTGGGTGTGTGTGCGTTTCTTCGTTTGTTGAAATTTGGGTGGAGGGAGGGCAGAATTGCCGCCTGGGCTTCACAGGTGAGGGCTGGAATCTGGGTTTTGAGGGTGAGGTGTGGGGAGTGCAGGTGCAGCACCGGGCCTTCCGAGGTTTAAAACTTATCAAAAAGACATTACACATTCGAGCCAACAGCAATAATCTAGCGGCACAGTTGAGATATTTTCACAAAATGTAAAAACATATAAATGCCAACCATTTATCGTCAATGTTTGTGATCTAAAGACCGACATTTTTGTGTTGTTGCAAATTAGCCGGGACTACACGGTTGAGTACAATGATCCCCTATTCCCCACATGCTGGTTGGCATTGAAACACTTAGAGACAGGTCAGAAATTCCATTTAGAGCGAGTAATTTAGAGAGGGGCCATTAGCTGTGGGTGATAGCAGAACACGGGGGCTTACGGGGAAGGGGGGGGGGTCGGGTGTTGGTGCGCAGCGCTCACCATTTGTGTCTGATGCCCTCTCAGCCGACAGCAGCACCTGCCCGGGCCGCCTGAGCGCCGGGTCAGGGGTCAAAGGTCACATTCCAGACAGGCATATCCACACCCTGATTAAGAACTCAGCTGCAGGAACAGAGCTTGCAGGTGGATGATGCATTCTACCCCCTGACGCTAACTATTCTTTCTTTGTCTGTGCACGTGTGTGTGTGTGTGTGTGTGTGTGTGTGTGTGTCCTTAAAATCTGAGGGGTTTTGACATACATATCAAATTTTGCAAATCACATAGATCAACCACTAATAGATCAACAATCCACAATTTGTGTTTCATTGCAGTAAAAGTTTAAGAAATCTCCAAAAATGAATGCAAAGAAGGAAAAGGTTTGAGACACACACAAACATCAAGCAAAAAAGAAAAAAAAAATCAAAGTCACATTATTGTATAGATGAAACTTTCATCTACACAATGAAAAGAAAAGCATTCTTTTTATATCCATCCATTTGTTTTTATGAATGCATCAGAATGCTGGAATATGTGGAGTAGTCCATCCCTCCACAGTTCAAATCATTACAGTAGTTTTATAATGCCAGCTTATTTAAAATGTATCTGCCATATTTTTTTAATAGAACATTTCTTTTCATATTACTCCTTTAATGTTGTTTCATTATTCTCTGAAGCATTTTGGGGGTGTGCGCTTTCAAAAAAAAGTGCAATAGAAATAAAAGTGATTTGAATAGACTTTATATTCAAGAAAGTATTTCAGCAACAACTAACTTCAGGTTTTTCTGTGGATCACATTGAACTGATTTCCTTCTCCTCTGGGATCAAAAGAGCACTTGATATTCATTTATACATATCGTCCATATTCACGTTTTATGAAGATTATTCACACGCCCACCGGCTGAAGAATGTTTCCACGCTGAACATTTATGATTAGCTTCATCCCCCTTCTGTTGCTTTGATATTTGTTTGGCTCGAAAACATATCAGCAATGAAAAGCAGTTGTTGCCCCTTCAGATTTCCTTATGGGGCAGGTGTTTGTTTTGCTCATGATTCCGTCTAAATAGCAGCTATTAACCTACATTTTACTGGTAGAAATGCCTTCAGCGGACAGATGTAGCTTCTACAGAGAAATGTACATTTAAAATGTCAATTTGGCTGCTTGCATTTAAAACAAATGTACAGTAAACTAGTCATTTAGTAAGAATCAAAGGGATTAAACTTTTATGAGCGATGTGAAGAAGCAGCTCATGCCAAAACAGGACGGTACACTTGAATGGCTTAAAACAGAGTGATGGTATAATGAGAAGAATATAACTGAAGTGACGCCAAAGCAGTTTTTTATTGAAAATGCTATAAAAAACAAACATTATTATCCATCATAGATGTTCATAACTTTGCAAACAAGTTTGGTCCGTATTTGGACTGCTCCACTTGGTTTTTTTATGTTTTATGGCATATGTTCAATCGGAAAGATCGTTTCCCACAGGCTCTTGTTCCAGGGTGTAGTGGTCTTTCTTTCACTATATTCTGCAACACTTCCATTTTCAACGCTTGTGTCAAACTCACTCCATTCTTAATGCTAATCTCACCACTCTTGTCAAATGTCACTCTCTCCTTAAGATGTCATGACCCAGCACGCCTCTTTCCTCATACACCTCTTCCTCATACCCGATGATTGGACGTCTCAGCCACTGGCCCATTTGTACTCCACTTTTTTAAACAATTTGATTTTTCTTCCTTATTTTGTATTGCGATGTGCTTCTTCAGCATTTCCCACACAGTCATGGTGACATGTCCATCATTATGATATCTTGAAAACTTGCATGCAAAATTTAAATTAAAATTTAATGCAGTGGGTCACGCTTCAGTACTTAATAGACTCTGACGGGGCTGGCCAAAATGTTTTTGTTTTTTTTTAGGTTGGGTTTTACATATATATATATATATATATATATATATATATATGTATATATATATATATATGGAGATAGATAGAAAGAGAGAGATAAAGAGATAGAAAACGTGTACATGTTTAACAGACTGAGCAATAGCAAATGCTGTGATGATAAATGTCCATCATCTTTGTCATTTTAAGGGTAATTCAAGGAAGGCATTGTTCTTAGAAAACATTTGGAGTTTTTATGAGCCCCCACCACACACACACATACACACACACAGAGGCCAACTCGCCCCCTTATGCCTCTTACAGCCACATGCACCATCGACCACAGCAAAGCCATGAGTGTGTGTGAGCTCTCACTAAAATAACCTCTGGGTGTGTAAACCAGGTCCATCTTCAGCTTTGACATGGCAGCGGTCAAGCCCAGATTCCAGATTTGGTCTGAAGCTTGGGTGAAAAAAGCAAACACGACCACGGTCAACTGGAGCACAGAATTTGGATCAGCTGGGCCATGAGAACTACAGGAGGCCCACGGTAACCATTCTGTCGGGTCTGCCCCAAATTCACCAGCTGGGTGCGATTTTATCATTGGAGTCACTGGTCCGACACATTTCAAGTGATAGTGTGCTCAAATGTATGCAGGTCACATATGAAACTCAGGGACGAAGAAGGGAGCAATGTACATCACCTAACGGTAGGAGAGAGGTTATGTTTACATCTTAGATTGTTAATATACCTAGCTTGATGAGGGCACGAGGCTTTAATTGTCGTCACGGTTTTTGAAAACAAATTTGACCAGCTTTTAATTCATTTTCATTTGTATAACTGGACTTAACAAGCGGAATCCTTCGTACCACAGACAAGGTAAGCAGCCTTAAGACAAGCAGGAAAGAGAAGATGGTTTTTCTGTTGTCTTTACACTGAAACCTTTCATTTTCATTTGGATTTTTTTAATGAGATTTTTGTTTTGACATCCTTTGTGAATTTTTATATTCTATCTATCTTATAGGAGCAACTTTTCAGAGCTGTTGGAGGATATTTCTGGTGAACAATGTATACCGTACATGTAAAAATGAGTGAATTTAGGGTAAGTGAAATGCTCATGTCTTTTGATTACTTGACCACTTGCATCTTTTGCATATGCCAGTATTTGAATAATCTAATCGTACCACACACTGATTCTGACATCATTCCGATTTTGCAGAAAACTTAAAGAAGAAACATCAATGCATGTACACCCTGTGGGAGCCAAACCCCATCACACACAAAACAAATGGCATCCCAAGAGGTTTGTTTGCATTAGTCTTTTCCGTCAATTTAATCTGGTTCGCACTAAGGGAGCAGCAACTTGTTCTTGTGTTGTGTCTTCCACCTGTACTTCTACTCTTCAGTTCAGGTCAGCTTTAAGGTTTTGTATATTAAGGCATCATGAAAACAATTTGATCCTTACCATATACATATCTTGAAATTAGGGGACTATAAACTCAGATCAACTTTTTTTTAGAAATAATAAATATATACAAAACAAGATTAAATTAAATTAAAAACCTCAAATTATCTATTTAATAGCAACGAAGCCTAAATGCTGAAGAGAAGTTTGGATATCTAAGCCCACCCTCCACTTCTTGAACATGAATTAAAGGGATAGACAGCCAGGTGCTGCTTATAAAATCCAGTTTGATGAACAGATCAACAGCAAGTGTGAGCACCTCTATATAAATACAAAGTTTTAGAAGGTCTCTGGGAAGAACCACAAAAGAGAAGCAACTGTTACAGCCCATCAATCTAGGTGGAACAATCAGGCTGGAAAGCAATACGAAGCTACACCTCAGACTCCAGAGGCACCAGTTATCATGTTCAGCACATCATAGTTAGTGGAGGGTTGCAGGAGAAAGCCTCTTTCCTGACAAAGCACACAGAAGTGTGGCTACTATTTGAAAAGACTCAACATATTGCATGTTTTCTGGGCTGATGGTCCTTTGGACGGACTCAACTAAAATAATTCAAAATGCACAGCATATCAAGACAAACGCCTCATGCCAGTTGTAAAACACAGAGGCGGAAGGTTAATGGTTTGGGTTAGCTTCACTGCGACGGGTCCTAGGACCTTGCAGTCACCGAGCTAACCATGAAATGATGTATTCTAGAGTCTAGAGCCAAAAGAGAGGTCATCTGTCCATTACCTGTAGCTTAGCAGAAATCAGGCAACAGAACATGTATGATCTGTGACAATACATATCAGCTGACAGAGAAGGCAAATATTAAACCTGATTTAAATGACGGGACCTCCAGCGAGCTAAACAAAACTAAAACAACATTAGGCCAAAATTCTGCCATGGGATATAAGAGAGTGATGGCATCATACAGCAAAACACTACAAGTTATTATTGACTGATGTGCTCAAGAAACTATTCATCTATGGGTGGGATTAGTTTTTCATGCAGTATTTTTTGCATTTTGGCTCAGTTTTTGTTGAATAAATAATGATCATTATGATCCCAAAGCCTCTAACATAAGATATTTATGTTTAGTTTTTTATTTGAAAAGTATTAAAAACTCAAAGATATTCTAGTTATCTTCTCGAACTGACCGCATCTTGTCTGCTGATTGAGTTATGTAACTGGCTGAAGACATCACAGACCTAAAGATCGACTTTTTCAGGGTCATCTGACAGCTACACTCTTGGCCTCCATCCTGACAGCAGTGCTTGGCTCGCTCCAGATTGGCTATCACACCGGCAATGTCAATGCTCCGGCCAAGGTGAGCGGGACGAACAGGTGCTGCCGGTGCTGAAGGTCTCAGTTCCTGACTCCTAGCACGTGCATCTTTAATTACACTGTTATGTCTTCTAAATAGATGATTTTACTTTTAGATTTACGCTAAAGTTTGTTGTTTTTACTATTTTTACTTACCAAAATTGGCTCAAGATTAATTCTGTCCATAGAAGAGATATTTTACCATTTGAAAGAGAAGCGGAAAACTCTGATGTAACATGAGCCCAAACATCAGACAGCGGCCTCCAACCACATTTATCAGCCATACAGATGGGAACAGTGGACGCCAGGCTGGCTGTCAAACAAATATTGCACAGTCTCGATAAAGCACTGAATACAGTTAACAATCCCCCCAGCCTCGGGCTCAGCGCCCGTCCTGGCTCCCTCAGTTGGCAGGCTTCTGCTTTTTCACAGTTAGACTCCATTCGTTGTTCTAATTGAGGCAGGTCCTCCGGGCTCTACACGCCGAAGACATAGCTGAGATAACTTGCGTAACGCTTCCAGTGTCGTTAGGATTTCAGCACAACTTCTGTACGTGTGTGACTAAGTTATTCGCTATTACTCAACGGCAGGTCGTGTCTTTTTTTTTCCTGATGTTCAGATCATCGAAGAGTTTTTCAACCACACCTGGAGAGCCAGACACAACCAGTCAATGCCAGATCACAGCCTGACTCTGCTGTGGTCCCTCTCCGTCAGTATTAAAGACTTTGGAGCTCTGCTGGGCTCTCTCGGAGTCAAGTTCCTGGCAGACTCTTATGGCAGGCAAGAGAAAAATATGAAATACAATATGAATATTTGAGTATAATCTCAATCATCGCCTTGACTTTACATTTCTCTCTTCTCCCGCGGCAGACGAAACTCCATCCTGATTGTAAATGGTTTGTCTGTGGCCGGAGCGTGCATCATGTTCGCCTCCAAAGCCAGCGAGTCATTTGAGGTCCTCATCCTGGGACGTTTAGTGTTTGGTCTGTTCTGCGGCCTAGTGATGAGCCTCAACCCCCTCTACATCCAGGAAGTGTCCCCCACCAGTCTGAGAGGGGCCTTTGCTACGCTTAACCAGGTGTCCTTTGCCACCGGCATCCTGGTTGGAATGGTGAGGATAATGGTCTTCTCATCTTTATGACTCATTGTGACACATTGTGCCACTGTTTAACAGTTAGGACAGTTTCTTTTGTTTTGTGCGGTAATTCTGTGAGAAGATTAAATGTTACAAATCCGCAGTTAGGGTCGGAAAGATTTATCTATGGGTCAAGATTTCTGTCATGTAATGGGAATAGTGTCCCACAGAAAACAGGAGGGAAAGCACAGTTTAAATTGCTATCTTACAATTTACAACCATGGATTTAGAAACTGCTAGATGGAAAAGGGGACGGGCCACCTATTGCACTTTATTTATTTAGCTGAAACTGCATGGATTAAACGCTTTCTGTGTTTGTTTGCTGCAGCTGGCTGGTTTGGAGTCTGCACTGGGGACGGAACGTAACTGGGCACTGATGCTGTCCCTGTCTCTCATCCCAGCTCTGACTCAGTACCTGGCGCTGCCTTTCTGCCCCGAAAGCCCTCGGTACCTTCTCATTAACCGAGGAGAGGCAAGCAAAGCAGAAGCTGGTGGGTCTCACTCTGCTTCGCGATTCATTCGTTCCACTTTGAGCCGTTCTGTCATCAAATCAGATCTTCAGTACATCAACTGAAAGTACTTAAGGTTCAGCGGTAACACTAAGTTAAATACGCAATATAATATCAGTGAGCTTCGAGTTTAGTGACTTGACCAGGAATAAAAGCATATCAAGATGCTGTAGATATACTGTATCATGAATGTTTCATTGAAGTAGATGCTACTGCTTGTCGTTTTAAACCTGCAGCCCTGCTAAAGCTGAGAGGCAGATCAGACAAGGTGTTTGCTGAGCTGGAAGAAATGAAAGAAGAGGCCTCGCACACTCAGAGCGGCGTCACCGTCCGCTATTTCTTTAAGAAACGCAGCTACAGGCAACCCATCATTATTGTCCTGATCGTCAACTTGGGAAGCCAGCTGTCTGGATTCAACGCGGTCAGTCCCTGTTTGCGTGTGATGCTATCCTTCTAAGATGATGAGAATGCCCCTCTTGACCTGTTAAGATGAATTCAGTTCTTGACCTTTTTCTTCCAGATTATAAACTATTCCACCAGAATGTTCCAGGCCAAGTTTGATGAGGCAAAGTTTCTTACTCTGGGGGTGGGAGCTGTCAACCTCACCTTCACTCTGGTCGCGGTGAGTACAGGGCCTACTCCAAATCAATTCATTAAAGTGCATAAACATAACCAGCAGGTCAGTAAATGCTAAAACAATTCTGCTTAGAACATCCACTAAAAGCTTGGCGGGAAGTTGAAGAAATGCCATTATGTGCCTGTGCCTCAGCAGAATCAAGATACCGTTACATTTTAAAAGAAAAGGCACTGTGTTTTCTTCCTCTCCAGTTTTTCCTGATGGAGCGGGCTGGCAGGAGGAAGCTGCTGCTTACTGGTTTCATCTCCATAGCAGTGTGCAACTTACTCATGACCATTGTCGAATCGGTTCTGGTAAAAGAGTCCCATTATGGTTATTTTTGATGTATTATGTGGATGTTACGTGCAATTCCTAAATATGATCATATATCAGTCTAATGAAAGATCTAGAGCCTATTCTTGAAGTTTGAAGACACAGATAACTACCAAAACAAACTAAACGTAATACCATACGACCTCCATCACACAGAAAAATGCATTTCCTCAAAGAGTCAGTTTTCTCTCCACTGTGCAGCATCTGGTTCCTGATCTGCGAAGCCTTCAGGTGGTGCTGGTTTTCTGTCTGATCTCGGCCTACGAGTTGGGCCCTGGCCCCATATCCTGGTTCATTGCTGCCGAGCTGTTCGACCAGCCTGGCAGACCGATCGCCATGGCCTTCACCAGCATGCTCAACTGGGGAGGGAAATTTGTTCTGGCGCTCCTCTTTCCTCCATTACTGGTGCGTTTATATTGGTTGGCTCGCACACCGCACGACCAAGCTTGACTTGTGGGGAAACTTTGGAGTTGGATTTTTTTTTTTTTTTTCCTAGAGCACTTACACCTCAGAGACAGGGCTGTTAAATACCGACTATAAATCTGTTCAAACTGTGGTATACTAGACATATGTGCTCATGATTAGATAAGAGTAAATCTTTTACAGTCGCTGTTTAATACATATAAGTCCTTTAAATCAGGTCAAGATCATTTAGTGAGTAATTAAATTGATAGTTGTCCAGGGAAACTGCTTGCTCCAGTGCAATAGAGAAGGCAGTCAACCTGAAACTAACGTCGGGTACGTCCAAGAAATGTTTCTCGTTTAAACGTGTTTTATGGCTTTTTCTTGGTCTGGTGACGTTACACTCTAAATCTCAAGAGAGCGTTTATAGTCTTAAAATTGTAAAAACATACAAACAAAAAGGTACAAATCATACTCTGTGTCTGTCTCTCTCTCTTTCCCCCCTCCACTCACTCAGAAACTCTGCGGTGCTTATGTCTACCTCCTTTTCATGGCCGTGGCTCTGCTGGCCTTCACCCTCACCTGGATACGCCTGCCAGAGACAAAGGGCCGCACCTTCGATGACATCGCGGAGGAGTTCAGAGGAGCAGACGGCATCCCCTTGCACAACAGCACCGGATTCAACACTTTCGACTCTTGATCAATTGACCGTTCATTTTCAGGCCAAAAAGCAGCAGTAGCACACAGCCGCAGATGGTTTGAAATAGTTTTAAACTATATACTATAAACTATATCGTCTGTGCAGACACAACATTAGTTTGCGTGACATTCTTAAAACTTCAGGGACTTTAGTTTGTCCTCAATAGATCAAAATCTAAACTGTGTTATGTTTTGTTTACTGCAATTTTTTTTATTTTGTAACCATGCTGGTTTGTAAAAGATTAGGGATACAGATTCTTGCAAGATATTCTCTTTTAATTCAAGGGGAAACCTTAGATTTCCTGAATATTTGTTTTTCAAAAACAGACAATTGTCCCCCCCAACCATTAGCATTCATAGGTATAAATTATGCTAATCACATCACTGTTAAACACGTCACTGTTATGTGTATAAATTATTACACTGATGTGTATAAAACTAAATGATAACAAAACGATGTATGGTGGCTGTTTAGATTTTTTAAAAATCTTAAATTGATTTGTTTTGGATTCTTTTGAGTTAACAGAGTATACTGTGTTTTAGGAAATTACAAAAACACATAATATCTAAGGACAATTATCATAAGCGCCAGTTTGAGGCTGATAATGTTCGCCTACAAAGTGTTCTTGACTCTAACCTCTTAAAAAAATTGGCTCAATGACTTACAGAAGCACAGCACTGCAATTCATTATTGATATGTGAAGTCTCCAAAATACTGTACAATACAGTCTGCTAGAGCCTCATACAACACAAGTGGACTAAACCCACCCACGAAGCAATTAAGAGTGTCAGAATTCACTTTAAAATCTCTGAGCAGGACTTTGTTTATTCAAATGTATGAAAACAGTGTCATCTACTGGACCAAACTGTACAAAGCATGCTGTTCAATAAAACCAAATAAACCACAGTATACTCCAACTTAAAATGATGTACTGAAGATTTTTGGGGTAATATTTGTTATTGTCGCTCTTTAAGACACTCCTGGAACAGAAAAAGAAAACAAACTCTGATTCGGTTAAAAGTAAGGCGATATATCTGATGTCTATGGGGTCCTGACAATGGTACATGCTACCTAAAGTTTGAAATTTTAAATGCTACCAAGCATAATTCTGCATCAAAACTGTTTTTATTTTATCATCATACCTCAATGCCAAGTAAATCTGAATTAAAACTGAGATGTTGGAATTTCCTTTGCCCAATGGTATTCTCTTATTTGGTTTATGCGCTAGTTTTTTTCCTCATTCTGGGTACAAGTAAATCTTACCCGCACTCTTATTAACTGAAGAGTTACTTGAAACTGTGGTATGTGACGAAAGAGGGGCCTAATAGACACTTGTATTCCTCTTAGCAGTAAAAACGAGAGCTTGAGTTGAATGGAGCCCTGTTATAGGCTGTGGGGATACTCCAACAGCAGCTCTTCATCTCTGCGAAACCAGCGTGTGAGTCCAGCATTTTCTGTCTGACAGAATGGATTTAACCATCTCATGTGGCTTCAGGTAATTAAACTTATCACATCTGTCATGGTTTAGCTTTAACAGTAACAGTTGCTCGTTTGAAATGGCAGAAACGAGGGCCATAGAAAAATCAGATTTCGTTCCAGTTTCGAGTTTAAATGTGGTAACTTCTCCTGTTAAAATCTCAGGTCAAACCGATGGACACCATGTCACACCTCAGGGGAAAAGGCAATTGACTGCAACTACACCGTGGGTATTCAGTTATATGAGACGTACTGGTACAGACAGCTGCCTGGAGAGAATATGAAATTAATTGAGTTTACCACAATTGGAAACAAAGAGAGTTTGGAGATTCCAGCCCAAAGAGGTACTCTGCCACCAAACCTCAAGCTGAGCACAGTGATCAATGTGGAGCCAGCAGACAAAGGCATGTATTTCTGCACTGTAAGGGCCTACGGTGAGACAAAGACTTTCAGCTCCCGAACAAAAACTCATCCATCAATCCATGTAACCACTTATTCCCTAATGGGGTAACAGGGCCACACAGAGACACACAAGGACAAACAACCACACACACTCACATTCTCTCCTAAGGGGAATTTAGAATGTCCAATCAACCTAACATGCAGGTTTTTGGATGGTGGGAGGAAGCCGGAGAACCCGGAGAGAACCCACAGACACAGGGAGAACATGCAAACTCCACACAGAAAGGTCCTGGTTCCCCCAGACTGGAACCCTGGACTGGAACCCAGAACTTTCTTACTTTTTGCCACCCTGCCTGAACAAAAACCCTTATCTCTAATCTCCGTTACTGTCCCACAGCTACCACACAAAACGTGACACTCTCACACACTCTCACACTCATTTAAGTGTTCGACAGTACTGTTTTCTCCAGCGGGTGGGGACAAAACCCCACAAACGGCAATATACAGTTCCACAGGCATCAGACTGAAGACTGTTTCCTGTTTCTTGGTGGTTAAAGAAAGAAAACCCATGTGATCAATCGTCAGTTCTATCATCGTCAAAGCACTGTGGGAGCACACAGAGTCTAATTTCTAAAAAATCTTAAACATGATATTTATTGTTTGCATATTTGGTTTCATTCATCTACCAGGGAACTATGGTAAAAATAAAAATAAAAGTCATACATAAAACAATATTCAGTAGGAGTTCTAAGAGTCTAAATGGAATGAATCAATCTAAAGTTGAATGTCTGTGCTTAAGATCTTGTCTGCTTCTCCACAGGTGCCTCTGACACCAAAGAAGTCAACCAAACTCCTCTTATTATCATCAAGAAATCCGGGGAATCTGTGGACAAGGAGATGATATGCTCACACCAGATATCTGGATATCAAGTCATCCTGTGGTACAAGCAAGACAAAGGTTTAGCCATGAAGCTCTTGGGATATTTGAATTTGGAGTACCCAAACGTCGAAGAGGACGTGAAGGGAAAAATCAATTTCGATGGAGATGGACGTAAAAACTCAAGCCTCACCATTTCTGAGCTTAATCTGAACGACGGCGCTGTGTATTACTGTGCAGCCAGTCTGCACGGTGCTGCAGATCCCCCAAAAGCCAATACAAAAACCTTTTTATTTGTCCCACTCACAAGCACTCAGTCACCAGAACACCTGCAACTGGGACTCCCAACCAAGATTTTAATCTGACTATTGACTATTGACACAGTGGAACATGTTACATTTGAGGCACTTTGTATCTTCAACACAGGAAAGAATGAACTCATCAATTCATTTCCCCAAAATGATCAACCCAGACAAGTAATTAATCTTTTGACTTTGAAAAACTGTACATTCCGATAATATGAACAAACATGTGGACAAACCTTAGGTTTGGTCGGTCATTCTAGTTTCTAAAAGGATTAAGAACACATATCATGTAGGTTTTTTTTTTTTACCCCATAAGGGTCACTGCAACTTAAAAGGGGTCAACTCCAAGGGATCTCTAAAAGCCTTCTTGGCCTGGCCTGCAAACAGAAGTTCATGTAGGTTTTTTTCACTGTTGCCTTTTTATCTATTTCCCTCACAAAGTTTGAGGCGCCTGAACACCTGCAACCAGGACTCACAACCAAGATTTTATCAAATGTTTTGACTACAGTACATGTGATATTTCAGGCACTCTGTGGATGTCTTTAACAGAGGAATGACTCTGATGAGTGCATATTAATCTTCTAGATCAATAAATGAGTCTTAAAAAATACAGTCAAGAAGGTTGTGTTTGTTACAAATAAACATAAATCTAAGATATTTTTCATTATGTTCTGTCAGTTGTAATTCAGGCTCTTCTATTTGGAAACAAGCTACAACACTGGTATTTTGCCAGTACACCAATCCATTCAATGCAGTGTGACAGGGGTCAATTTGATGTGATCTCTCAGAACTCTGGAGTTTTCTGGGTCTTACATATACCCAGAGGTTTATCTGTCACTATACCACCATAAACAGTTAAATGCATCATCAATGGCAAGCTGTCCTTTGGACTGAGGATCATGGTGTGGATCCCTGCCATGGAGGGAAACCTCATTGGTAATGGCAAACAAATACCCCTTATTGTCAGACCCACCGTCAAGTAAAGTCCTGTGTGTTTGTACAAAGTGATTCTTGCCATTCTGATTTAATTCTTTGTGTGCGGCACTATATCTGCCATCCATTAGATTATCTGCCACACCACATGTGTATTAAAGACTGGCTCTATGATTACCCTGCTCTACAAGTTTTAACTCCCTGAAGATTTCTACAGTGTTTCTTGTCCAGAAGGTGGAGACACACCTCAACAAATTAGAGCTTCCCCTGCGCTAAGAGTAAATGCAGTGCTTCCTGATTGTCGTAAGTTCAAAGAAAGAAGACTTTGTGGCATGTGATACCTTCTCATGCACTACTGGAGCAAGCAAGGGCTGATAGAAAGCTGGCTGCGAAAGTCCCACATTTAAACTTCTTAAATATGAAATTTACGATTCTCATATTTTGTCTTTGTCATCTGCTGGGAGATATCGGTAAGAAAGTAAATACTGAGATTGTGCTAAGTTAATACTCCCTGTGCTTAACTGCTTAACATCTTGTCTGCTTCTCCACAGGTGCCTCCGACACCAAAGATGTGGCTCAAACTCCTCTTTTCCTGATTAAAAAAACTGGGGAATCGGTGGAGAAGGGGATTAAATGTTCACACAACATCGAAAATCATGAGCTCATTCTATGGTACAGACAAGACCGAAACAGGAATCTGAAGCTCTTGGGATACCTAAACCTGAATTTTGCATATCCTCAAGATGATGTAAAAGAAAAAATCAGTTTTGATGGAGACGGACGTAAAAACTCAAGCCTCACTATTTCCGACCTTGATCTGAACGACAGTGCTGTGTATTTTTGCGCAGCCAGGCGGCACAGTGCTGCAGCTTCTCCAACAGGCAGAGCAAAAAACCTCTTCATCCGTCTCACTCACCACATTTTAGCTTCGCAACACCTGCACAACCACTGACTCAACAAAGACGTGCAAGCCAAGATTTTATCAATCACTTGGCAATCTTTGGTGGTTTTAAACATCCTTGACACAAAAAATTAAAAATCACTTAACTTTTGTGTGCTTCTTTGATACATGTTTCTCTTCTTTGATACAATACATATTTTTGCAGAGACAATTTTAGGCTGATGAATAGTTTTGATAACAGAATTCTACAAAATTGTATAAAATGCTGTGGATCTTTTGGAGAATTTTTGCTTCTCTCTCTCTTATAATTCACGTCCAATTCCTTTCCGGTTTGCTCATGTGCTTTAATTCCTTCACCTGTTTCCACTCACTTATCATCCTCTTCTGTATTTAAGATTTCTGGTGTCATTTATTCTGTGTGAGATCATTGTCCATCTTCCGTCCACCATGTGCCTTTGCTGCTGTTCCTGGTTCCAATTCTCCATTTCCCCTGCTCTAGCATCTAAATCTAACCTGATGACAAATTAGTCTTAACAAAAAGAATACAGTTGCAATTACTTTTTTGGTTTACAAAAAACATGAAATATCACAAAATCCAATAAAGCACCATTTTGGCTACTTTTTTAGCTGATGGGATGCCATCTATATAGGAAAATATAGAATGTGGAGGCTCTGACACAATGACTGAAAAGACATTTTAGATTTGAGAGCAGCTCGTGGAATGCCTTCACATTCTACACTGACCCTCCCACTTCCTCTTCTCTATATCTGTGTGACTGGGTCAGACTGAGGGAGCTTCTGTGGAACACAACATGGATATGATCATCACAGAAAAAAATCTTCTGCGACTATTTGTCTCTTTGATGTGGACGACAGGTAATTAAAAAAGATAAAGAACATTCAATTTTAAAGAATGTTCTCAAGCATCAAAAGTCTTTCGAGCTACTTGTGCTCTTTTATTTACAGGGTTTTCTGGCGGGAGTCATGTCACCCAGACCCCTACTGTGTGGAAAAACAGGGGCGGAAAGGCGACAATAGAATGCAGCCACACCAAAGGAAGTTTTTACTCCCAGATGTACTGGTACAGGCAGCTGCCAGGACAGGCCATGAAGCTGATTGTCTTCACAGCGACGGGACAAAGTGATCATGATTTTGATGATTTCGACGCTGAAAAGTTCTCAGCCACCAAACCTGATGCTCACAGGGGGACGCTCACCGTGAACAACCTGGTGCCGGAAGACAAAGGCTTGTATTTCTGTGCTGTGTCTCAGCACAGTGGTACAGAGATACATAAAAGCTGCACAAAAACCTAATTAAAATACACACAATTGAACTAATACTTGGATGAACTGTAGGGGGACCCCATGTACCAGCAATAAAATCACTGGTACCAGACATATCCACCTCTGACTGTTCTTATTATAGGAACTAGCAAGTTATGGTTTGGCCCGCTAAGTGTGAGCATAACCTTCTTTTTTTCCAATTTTTCTAGACAAAGGATGAATGAAAAACACTTTACAAGTTATATTAGTACAAAAACAATGGCAGCAGTTTAAATTGTAGATTTTTCAGCCTTTCCTTCTATCAGATTCTACTAACTTACATACACAAGATGATGGAATGACATTAACATTTAGGATAAACATGGAATGGGTTTTCATGATTGGCTGTTTGGTTGTTGAAGACAGTTAAAAAAGAGGAACAGATTGAAGGCCCCGCCCAACTTTAAACCCCATGGATAAAGGAGTCCTGAAATGAAAGTCATCAGTTGAACTGCCGGCAGTGCAGCAATAGCAAGGATGCCCTTAAATCCAGCCACAAAAAATCTCGTGATCATCACAGCCTTTTGGATTACCTTTCATGTTTTCTGGGTCTCAGGTAATTTATCAAATAGATTTTAGGTTACACTTTGTCTTATTCAGATTTTTTTAAAACGCGTGTGTTTGCTTTTTCCTTTGTGCTTTTCCACAGGTTCCTCACTCAGTGACAAAGTCAGCCAGACTCCAGCTGCTGTGTACAAAGAAGCCAATCAAACAGTCAAAATCCACTGTTCACACAATATTGAAACCTACAATTTCATCCTCTGGTACAAGCAAATAAAAAACAGACAGCCGCAGTTTCTGGGATACATGCAAGCCTTCACCCCATTTCCAGAGACTGGAATGGGTGTAAAAATAGATGGAAATGCAAATGAAGGAGAAACCTGCACGTTAACCATAGAAGAACTCAGCCTGAACAGCAGTGCAGTTTACTTCTGTGCTGCTAGTCTACACAGTGGAACATATCACTGCTCCTCAATACAAAAACCTCATGAGGATTTACTGTGTGTTTATCACAGCAGATGCCTCTCCTTTAATCATTCTACCCATTAGATGGCAGCACATATCATCAGATAGTCATGACAACTGACAAATTCAGAGGAGGAAATACTGTGACACCACTCATCTGATGATTTCACATTTGTCTAAAGAAGCCGTTTGACTCAGAAAGAGGCTGGAGTTAATCAATATAACCGCTGATGCATCAAGGGACACCACCTAAATAATTCTATACAACAGTATATTGGCAGAAAAGAACATGTTTATCTTTGTTCTTAATGTCGATTTCATCAGCACGCTGGTTATGTTTATGATTATGGTAGTGATCTTAAAATAATCTAAATATTTATTTCCAGTTTTTACACTGCAGGTTTGGAATTTCCCCCAAAAATCTGTCATTCAGTTTCTCTGAATTCACCAGTGCCGATAGTGCCCTTGATCTGATAGTTTGATCAACCTATCAGTTTTGAAAACCTAAATGGGAGTACCGTCTAAGGTTGCAGTTATCAAAGCTTCACTTCAAAAACAACAACTCTAGTTCTTGAAAAAAAAAATCCCTGCTTCTCAACTTTGTAATTAATCACATGCATATGATGCGCATATGAAAGTTTAAAGTACACCATAACCTGAACAGCTGTCAGTCAACAGCCTCAGCCAATATGAGAGGTGAAGAAAATTTATTAAGGTTGATGGTGCAAAGTCACTTGAAGTCTAAACATTGTCATGTCAAGCAAATAGACTTGGGTCTGCGATTAGAGTCAAAGCTACTTCAAGAGTTGAGAAATAAGACTGTTTATCGTAATAACTGTTTTGGCTCATTTCTGTCGAAACGAGAGATAAACGTATAGAAACATGGGGTCAAACTTCACAGAAATGAGTACTACGTCTCATACCCGCAGGGGGAGACACATCTAGGCAAATAAAATCAGGATACAAACACAAGTTCCCACCTACCCGTGCCTAACAAGCTAAAAAGTCATATCTCAGAAAGAGCAGACATAAAGACACTCTAAACCCTCTAAATACAGTAAATATGATCTTCCTGACCCTTATGTTACATTTCCTTCATCTGCCCGTGAATACTGGTGAGGCCTGCACAGAGAAAAGACCTCACAAAGTTGTTTTTTTTCTCAAAGTATGATTAAAAGGGACTAATGTATTGTTTTATTTTTTCACAGGTGCTTCTGCAGTCTACAATATCCTCCAAAAACCGGCTTCCATTATTAAGAAACCCGGTGAATCTGTTCTCAATGAGATCCACTGTTCACACGATGTGTCGGAATTTGAACGCATCCTTTGGTACAAGCAGGACAAGCGCGGAGCTCTGAAGTACCTGGGCTACCTAAATCTGAAGTTTGATTATCCAGAGGACGACATAAAAGGAAAGATTAGCTTCGACGGAGACGGCGGCAAATATTCCAAACTGAATATTTCCTCCGTTTCGGCAGAAGACGGCGCCGTGTATTTCTGTGCTGCCAGTCAGCACAGTGCAACAACGCGCCCTGAAGTCAGTACAAAAACTCTGCACACAGATGAAGATCACAGCACCTGCAGCCACCGCCGAAAACCTGGATGTTTGACAATGCTATTTGCTATCAAGACACCAATCTGACGCCTCTGTAACATCATGGGATCCAAGACTGGGCTGTTTTAATTCTTGGCCGTGAAGAATTTCAATTTAAAATCCTCATCGAACCTGACTTATTCAAAGTTCTGCTCCCTACAGTTGATGCTGGCAGGATCTCTTTGTGCTTTAATGACTTTTTATAAGACGTTCATTCTCAAAACAATAAACATGTGAGCAAATTGTTTCAATCTGTCTTTCTCAGCCTTTGTTCAAATTTGAGATACATCTTTTATAGCATCAATGACCTGTAGGGGGGCAGGAAATACACACCCGTTAACACTCCCTGCGGTATTTAATGCCGTGACACTCCCCACTCGCTGCTGTCAGAGAGAACATGACTAGAACCATTAGAAAGCAACTCCCCATACTGTCCCTCTTCATGCTGTGGACATCAGGTAACATCAGCCTTTTGAAAGTACAACCCAACACTTTATTGTTGGAGTGATTAACGTTCAGTAAACGAAAAGGCCTTTGCACAATAACCTTTTTCGTAAAGTTGCAGGTCTAACGGATGCGAGTGGTGTCAACCAGACCGACCTGGTGTGGAAAGTCCAGGGGGAAAACGCAGTGATGGACTGCAAACATTCCAAGGGTGCTACCTATTACACAATGTACTGGTACAGGCAGCTGCCCGGAGAGCACATGAAACAAATGGTGTACACTCTCGCTGACAGCAAACCCGACTTCGAACCCGAGTTCAGAAGTGACAGGTTCTCCACCACCAAACCCGACGCTCACAGTGGGACCATGACGGTGAAGGACCTGGTGCCGGGAGACACCGGCTGGTATTTCTGCGCCGTGAGTGAGCACAGTGATGCAGATGTACTCAAAGCTTTGACAAAAACATCCCCTGTTCTATCACATGTACTGAAGGGGGGAGTCAGATACCACAAACGCTCACAGTTAACAGCCTGTGGCTCGGCTGCTGATAGAATCAAATAATTCCACAAATGAATGACACACCCACTTTAACTCTTTATATTTCTGAATGGATGCTTCTGTTAGAGAATAAAACTCAACCTCATTTTATCTTCAAGCAAAAAATTGTCATATTTTATTATTTTTATGAAATTGGAGTATGTCTGTGGCGTATTATGGTAGTTTAAAAAAATGGAACAAAACATTAAGTCTCCACCCACTTAAAAACGTACTTCCCACGTGAGCCCTGAACTGAAAGGTGAATAATCTGTTGAATTGACAACAGGGAAGCAATGACAAAGAGGTCCTTAAATTCAATCATGAAACATTTCATGATCATCACAGGCATCTGCATAACCTTTCATGTCATATGGGTTTCAGGTAATAATTCAAATGTTCTATTTTGCAAAACAATGAATGTATATAAGACAATTATATTTTGCTGGGTGTCTTTTTTATGTGCTTTTCCACAGGTTCCTCACTCAGTGACAAAGTCAGCCAGACTCCACCTGATGTGTACAAAGAAGTGAATCAAACATTAGAAATCCACTGTTCACACAGCATAGACGGCTATGACAGAATCCTCTGGTACAAGCAAATGAAGAATCAGCATCTGCTGTTTCTGGGATACATGGTACCATACTCTGCAGCTCCAGAGACCGGAATGGGTGTAAAAATAGATG